GCCTGCTGAGGCTGTTGGAATGGCAGCCGCAGCGAGGGGGTCTCAGGCAGCACCGCTGGCCTCAGCTCTCTCCGCCAGAACTGTCAGGAGAGTTTAGGGTACGATTCGCGTGACCAAACACAGGCGCCTGTTCAAGGAGAAGATGAAACACAGCTGGACTCTGCTTCCTACAGCTCCCCCGGCTCCACAGCCGGGTCTGGGAAGAGGTAAAGATATCCCCCATTTAGTGGTGTAATGCAAGAGCATCTTGCTCCAGCGGAGGGTGTCCGTGGGGCTAGCGCATACTGGCATGTCAGAGAATCAGGGCTGGTTGGCACCCAGAGTGATGCTGTGGGTGCTGGGATGTCCAAGGGAGGTGGTGGGTGCCTGGCAGCGGGCAGCCAGGGGCACCCAACACTTTCAGCATCCCCACCCCCGTGTCCCCCGGCCGCGTGGGTGCCTGCCCCGGGCAGCCTCCAGCCCTGCCGCACCGTAACTCCCTTCCCTCCCTGCTGCCAGCTGAGGGAATGTGAAGATTAAAATAAAACAAACCAGGCTTGTTGCAGCCAGGCTAAAAATGCCACAAATAACAGCTAATGAGCTCCATAAATCACACCGGGATGGCGCACAGACAGCAAACAGGCGCTCTGCACCTTCTCGCTCCATCCTGCCCATCGCTCGCTCTGGGTCACTCTCAAAAGATCAGTGTTTCCCGCTGACACTGGCCAGGCTGGGATGAGACCTCCTGCAATACACCCTGTCCCAAAATCGTGGCCATCGACCACGGCTCCAGCTGCCTAAATAACCCCCTGCGGCGCAGACAGCTCCCTGCCGTCCCACGGCCCTGGGAAGGGAGGTCGGGGCTGGCAGGAGATGGGCGACAGTGAAGAGTCCCAAAACCGGGGGCTCGGTGCAAATGGGTGCCCCTGTGCAAGGTGAAACCCAGATATGGCACTTATATGGCACGGGCTGCAGATAGCCAAAGGAGAAATGTATAGACCCAGCAAGGAGGTATAGGAAGGAGAAAAGTGAATGGGGCATCTTTGTAGTTTTCCTTTGGGCTTCTGCAAAGGTGAGAAACAGCAGGAAAACGGGGGTCTGGCAGCTGCCAGAGCCAGCCCGGGAGCACCCAGACACCCTGCCCGTGTGGCGTGGACACCCCCGTCCCAGCATCCCCACCCCATCTAGGCCACAACACCCCGGAGCCGCCTCCAAAACATCCTCAAAGGGCACCTTGGTGGGTGCTTGCCAGGAGTGCTGCAGGCAAGCGGGGGCTGCAGACGTTGCCGCGTCGGCTGGAAGCTGATGTCTTTATCTATGAATGTCATGGACTGGGGACAGCCCTGCCTGCCACCTCATGTCCCATGCCCTCTGGCTCCCACGAACCCTCGTGGCTCTGAACCCGGCCCCCAAACTGTCGCCTGGGTGGGTGGCATGTCACAGGGCTGGTCCTGAGTCCCCATGTCCCCTCTCACCGTGCAGGTCGAGGCATCGCTGGAGGAGCAAAACTTCACGGAGCTGTGGGGGAAGAAAGCCAAGGAGCTCTATGGCAGCATCTGGAGCAACTTCAGTGACCCGCAGCTGAGGAAAATCATTGGCTCCATCCAGACCCTGGGACCTTCCAACCTGCCCCTGGAGAAGAGACAGCAGGTAGGCAAGGTGCCGGCGAAGCCCTGGGCATTGCCAGGGTGCTGCGAAACCCCTTAAAGGGTTTTTGGCCAAGCCTCCAGACTCTGTTACTGGCCCATTGCCCCTCCATTACATTTTGGAGGGTCTCCCTGGCCTATGCACAAGGGAAGACAGTGATGGAGGGGGGAGATGGGGTGCTATCTCGGGGGGATGTGGGGTGCCTGCTGGCCCCATTATCCAGCCTTACCCTCATCTCGGAGCTATCCCAGTGGGAACCAGAGATTTCCTGCTTACACAGAGCAGCCTTGGGCGTCACGTGGAGACCAGCCAGGCTGTGCCCATGGCCAGGAGCCAGCTGGCTCAACCCCATCCCTGGTGCTCCTCGGGGATGCAGCCCACTGAAAAGGAGGACTGCTGCAGCCAGCCGGCGCCTGAGCCCTCCCTGCAAGCCCAGAAATGCTGTGCCTTGGGACAGTTCCGCGCTAGGGACATCAGGACATCCTGAGCCTTCCCCATCATGGTCCTGAGCTTTCAGGGTCATCTACCTAAATGCGATGTGATTTCAATTCCCGTGAATGAAAATATTGCCCAGGCTGAGGCTGGCAGCCAGTTGCCTCTGCATGAGTGCAGGGACACCGGCACTGCCATCCCCTCCAGCCTGGCCCATGGCTCCCTGACAGCCCTCCCCACCAAAACCCCTCGTGGCTGGCAAGCCCAGTGATCCAATCCTTTCTGGAGAAGCATCGGCCCCGGTTCCTTCCAGGAAACCTGTCCCTGCCCTCTCCCAGATAACAGACAGCATCACGTCTCCTCCCTGCACATTGGCCACCTTTCGCCTGTCCCCAGGCAGCTCCATCCCCCAGCCGCCACCGTCCCCCATCTGCCCGGCCAGAGCAGAGGGGTGGGAGTGCAGAGAAGGACGGAGCGGAGGAATTTCCTTCCCTGGGAATGGGCTCCCTGGGCAGATTCCAGGAAATCTCCTGTTGCTATTGTTTGCTGTTGTTGAAGTTCACAGAAATAAATCTCCCTCCTCCTCCTGCTTTTCTTTTTTTTTTTTTTTACCCGCTTAGATAAACAGGCCGTGCCGCAGCCCCGCTGACAAAGAGCTTTATAAATAGCCCCGCTCCGGGACACCACAAGCACTCGCGCCACGTTCAAGGGTGGTTCAGCGAGTGGCTGTGCATGGTTTGTCTGTCCCAAAGAGCCTCCCTGCTCCCACCATGCAAAGGGTGTAAAACTCTGGGTGATAACATGCTTATCTCACCAAAAACACGCTGTGTAAACACACCAATCCTCCTCCACATCCCTCTGGACACACACACACACGATCCGGAGCCGGGAAGTCTGTAGATCCCTCCTGAAGGACCATTCACATCCCCTTCCAGCCCCAACATCTTTTCCTTCCCCGCAGTACAACACCATCCTGAGCAACATGGACAAAATCTACTCCACGGCCAAGGTGTGCCTGGCCAACGGTACCTGCTGGGAGCTGGAGCCAGGTACGGTCCTTGTCCCTCTGCCTCTGTGGGGTGCTGAGCACCCCATGGCCATGAGTTTATCCTGGTCCCCACATCCCCAGCGGGTTGGGGTTGGCAGGTCCCACCCATGTTCTTCAGGGTTGTCCTGGGGGGAGGATGGGTATTCGGGTCTGGTGCAATTGTGGTGGCACCTCCGCAGAGCTACTGTAGGATGTGACACCCCACCCTCCTGCCCCTCTCTCATGTCCTACTTCTCCCCTCTGTCCCAGACATCTCGGACATCATGGCCACCTCTCGCAGCTACAAGAAGCTGCTCTATGCCTGGGAGGGGTGGCACAATGCTGCGGGCAACCCACTGCGCGCCAAGTATGAGGAGTTCGTGAAGCTGAGCAACGAAGCCTATCAGATGGATGGTACAAGCAGGATGGGGGATGCAGGGGGTGGTCAGGGATCGGGGTGGGAACTGGGGCCAGGGTCCTGCTGCTCTCCCCATCCCACATGCAGCCAGGCATCCAACTTCCATTTCCCTGGTGCAAACAGGGAAGGGACAAAAATCCTACTGCTGTTCCCTGGTCCCAGCTGTTGGGGCTGGGTGGGGGGCAGCCCCGGGGGCTGGAGCCAGAGGTCATCACTGCCTCTCTGGCAGGATTCAAGGACACAGGCAGCTATTGGCGCTCCTGGTACGACTCAGCCTCTTTCGAGGATGACCTGGAGCATCTCTACAACCAGCTGGAGCCGCTCTACCTCAACCTGCACGCCTTCGTCCGGAGGAAGCTGTACAACCGCTATGGCCCCAAATACATCAACCTGAAGGGTCCCATCCCTGCTCACCTCCTGGGTAAGAGGAGGGACCCCCTCCAGCCTGTGCCCAGGGGTGCTGGTGGGGCCAGAGGGGCACACGCAGGGCCGTAGTGGGACAGGGAGGTCCCAGTTATCACCGTGCTTCTCTTCCTCCCGACCTCCTACCAGCTCTGCTCCAGCTGTTTTCTCTTCCCAGGCAACATGTGGGCTCAGCAGTGGAACAACATCTATGACCTGATGGTACCCTACCCTGAGAAACCCAACCTCGATGTCACAAGCACCATGGTGCAGCAGGTGATGGGCTGAAGGACTCACTGGTGGCACCAGGGGGACAAAAATGGGGGGTGTTGGCCAAGGCTTGACCATAACATTGACTCCATGGGAGTGGTTTCTCATACCTGCATAGGGGACAGCAGAAAAGCCATGTCTGGGAAGGGAAGGGACAAAGAAATGATCCCACTCCCTCTCTGGCAATAACCAAAGAGGCAGCGGATGGGCAAAGAGGAAAGACAGTGCGGTGGGACTAGTGCCAGTCCCCGGGCTGGGGGCGGCGTCCACACCATCACACAGTTCCGAGTGCTCCTGGGGCATCCCCTCTCCTGTCCATGCTGGGCACCAGCACCATCGCTCAGTGCTTCTTAGGGATGCTCACACCAATTCTGGGGCCAGGGCTCCCCATCAGGGTGAGAGGGGCAGGACCCCAGTCCCTTAGAGGGACCCACCTCATCCCCATGGTACTGGGTGAGCATCAGAGGCAACGCCCAGGGCATGTGCAGCCCCTTCCTCAGCTGTAACCCAC